TGATTTGTATTTGTAAGATGAGCTTAAATCAAGGAGCCTGACAAAGGGAATTATTTAAAGAGTCACTGAGAGTTTCCCATTTATTTGTTTAGAAATAAATAATATACCATTATGTTTAGATGTATGCTTTAATCTCGGTAGATATTGTGAGTAAAGAATAAGTAATAAAATTTCTTAACTTTTTGTTTACTTTCTTTAAAATACCAACTAATTGAGACAATAAGCGATTGTCTGGACCGGAATTTGCTGTAAAATCAAAAGACTTTAAGACTTTTCTCTTCCCTTGTTCGCCTTCTCAGTTGTAAAGTTAATCATACGCCGCTTAAAATTACAAATCACCATCATCAGCGGAGACAAGGACCAAGGACATTGCGATGCCGGCCCGGCTGCAAGGATAATAACAGACAACCTGCTGCACAAGATTGAATTCCCCCCTCTCCTGCCACGTAAGTGTTCTTAACTGTGACCATTTAACGGTAATTATTGCAACACTGTGGCACATTTTAAGTGCTCTCGCTGCGAACTTTTCATTCGGCTCGACCAGTTTGATGGTCAACACCTGGCCAGCAGCCAATTGCCCCACCTGGGCTGCATAAATTTCCGGCTCAGCATTTTACTTAATCCCGTCTATTTTGCAAAAGGATTATCAAGGCAACTTTTTAATTCGCCGCCCAAGTGGCCGGGCAACATTGGCGCCATCAGTCGTGATGTCAGCAGTTTTGTGCGGTGGCCTTTTAATGGTCTCCTTCACTCCAATCCTTCCCAGACCACCCTTCATCCTTGCTGTCCTCAGCCATCCTTCAGCCCGATTTTCAGGTGGAGTCGCCATGGCTCCTTTTAATGCCCATTGAGGGCCCATTTGATGCGTGGCCAACTGAGCGTGCTCGGGAACTTGCCAACTTTGCTACCAGGCGAGAAGATAATAATTTGAAATGATGGATTAAAGTAGCCGTTAAATTGAACGAGGTAAGCTAAACAGAAGGGGTCCTTTAGCGGTCCTTTGCAATTGAAAAGTGTGAATAAAGGGTAGAATGAGCTTGTCAAATAAATAGGTACACCATAGCCCTAACTCAGTATTACTTTTCTCTTAAAATTGATATGAATGGGTAAATATTTAACTTATAAAAATTCTTTACATTAACCACCGAGTGCGAAACTATTTTCTTTGTTAAATTTAGTAACTAGTCTAAGAACTTATCTAGGGTATGTTATTTTTATAGCATTCCAACATTCTCTAAAACGTTCTAGCCAAGTGAACAAATAAAAATTAATATCAAATATTTACATCATATCTGAATGGCAATTGACTTCAGCCCGAATTCCTTTCGGTATACGGCATTATTCAAAATGATGGACTTAAGTAGCCGTTAAATTGAAGTGGGTAAGAGAAAATAACAGAGCCAAAAGGGGCAAAGATAAATGTTTGCTTATGCCAGCGCGTGTGTTTGTGTGGCTTAAGTTTAATACGCCATTCAATCAATTTCTGCACCGCAACTCCGAACGCCTGGCAGCCTTATCCTGTCGATGTCCTTCTTTTTCAATATTGTCGTTTTGCATTTGCAAGCGAAGAGGAAGAGAAAGAGAGAATCCAGTGGGAAACGAGCGCTTCATTATCCTTCATGCAGGCAAACAAAAATATTGATGCGAGCCAGGACCTCATTCTCGCTTCTCTGGATCTTCGCTCACACATCCTGCTGGCCAGCCACTCCTCATTTTAAGTCTTTTGTCTGGGCATTTATTTATTTATTTATTTATTGTCATGCTTGTTTATTGTTTCGCCTTTGATTGGCTTCGGCTTTGCTTTCTACTTGCCTTTCTTTACCCCCAGCTCTTGAATTCACATTATTCCAAAAGGATATATGCATATGTGCAGGAACATGACGAAGTTTATTAGCTTTGTACCCAAATGAGTGTCATTGAGCGATAAGTACGAAGTCATTTCTGAGAAATTCTGTATGTTAAAACGGAAAAGGGCAAATTAAGGCCAATAATAAGAGATAATGCCGAATGATTTCTGTCTCCGCCTCTCAATATATATATATATTATATTTACAAAACAAGTTCCAGTTAAATGCAATACCTTGTTATTTATGGAAATTTTTAGCTTGCTGCTCTTTTGGGCTTTTCTTGGAAAATGTTTTCCCCTTCTGCTCTCTTTTCCAAGGGACTTAGATTATTGACTTTCTTAGATTTATGACCTTATGCTCAAATGATTGTTTATTGTTATCCCATCTCTACTCTTATAGCGCTGACAAAGGACAAAAATCCAGAAAGAGCCCCGAAATAGCGAATACAAAAATGATAATCAAGTAATAAATTTAAATTCAATCAAATAAATTCTGCTGGAGATGAAGCTCTAAAAATCTGTTTATCATGCCTATCGATACTTTTACTTGAGGTAATTATTTGTGTGGATTTTACCAGTCGGCTCGAATTGCCTTTGAATATAAAACAAATATGTATTTATTTCCGGAAATCACATATTTCCGGTAGGCTCTTGCCCGTTCGACGTGCTATTAATGAGCAGCACAATTAAATTTCACTCTCAAAATTACTCGACAGGATGAACAATAATTTGGTATGTGCATAGGTGGACTAGTCACTGCTCTTTCTGTTGTTTTTAGAAACTGAAAAAACTAAATAAAATATTAAAGTTAAGGAGCTTAACTTTTTCGTGCAGATAGTGTTTTAGATATTGTGAAATTATTTTTTTAAAATTTATACTAAACTCATCATATTATAAAGTTCCCAGCTATGCCCGTCTTTCTCTATATATTAAATGAAATTTATGCAAAATTGCTATTGTACCTACGTGAGCGGATGTATGTGTGCGTGTTGTCCTTTATTTTCCCATGGCATAATATAAAACATCCTGTTGTTGCCCCTCACATGCCTATTGTCATAAATAACCCGTCCTGAAGGTATGTTTATGTTGGCGTTTGTCACTCTGTGAGCTCGTCTGAGAGGGTTTTTGTACAATTTTGTGACTGGCTTAAATTTGTTGCGTTATTTGCGTCATTTCCGAAGCAAATCAAAAAAAAAAAGGAAAAATACGAAGGCCAGACAATGTACAGCACAAAAAATTCAAATATAAATAATGGGCGGGGAAGAGAAAGAGCGACTATGTGTGGGCGGGCTGTGTAAAGTGTGTGCTTAATCAGCCAATCAATTTCATATACATATTTTAACACTTGAATGCGTTGGTAAAGAATAAAATTCCAATGCCGCTTGAGTAGAGCCCACGGGCCATAACAAAATGCCTACCGAAACATTCCATGGAACACAATACGCATTCTGCTCACAATGCAAAATAGTTCAGCATTATGTGGCTATTTGGCAAGGCAATCAAATGAATATTTCACGTTTACATTTTTAATTATCAGCAAATACCTTTTACTGCCATAATAATGTGTGAAGGTCTGCACGGTCACAAATTTTGGGTTTTAAAGGCAGAACGTAAATCAGTTGAAGCCTTTTTAACATCATTATTTAAAGTTTAGTTTAAAAGGCGAACAAGAAGAGAAGCTCTCCTTAACCCATATAACATGAAAGAAAACCCCTTTATCGATAACTTATTTCCCAAGCCGTTTAAGGTTTCTTGCCATCATCAACTCAGTTAAGTGACTTTAATATTAGAAAATTACTAGAACTTTCCAGCGATCTCGAGCACCTATAGAGATATTAGGTTACACACATGTGAGGACTAAAAAGAGACTTTCCCATAAAGTCCCCTTGGTTAGTGGCATTTCGGAAGGACCGTGTGGGAACTGCTTAAGTGCAGCCACTTAGCAGGGCTCCATAGTTGCAGCTGCCATCGCCTAAAACATCGAACGTTAACGTATTTATGGCTGCACTCAGCCTGACAGCCACCAACTGCATTGGCATACAAAGTGGGTGGCGATGGGATGGGATGTTAAAGTCAACAACATAACTTAAAAGGGACGTCTTAAATTTCCCCAAACCGTTTTGAGAGCAATTATACCGTTTCCTGACTTTGCAGCCAACAAGGCGAAAATACATTTACATTCAATTTTTTTTTATTTCTTTCGTTTTCTTTTTTGTTGTATTTTATTTTTTTTTACAATTTTCGTAACATTTCCGCCTTTTTGCATTCAATTTAATTTAACATAAACATTTATATGCTTATATTATTATCCAACGCACACGCTGGCAGCGCAGCTGCTGTTGTGCACTGTGCAGAAGGGTTTCATGCTTCAAGAGAGCATACGTAGCGTATACGTAATGTGCAATTTTGTAACGGACTGAAGGGGTTAATGCAGTTAAAGGGGCGGCCCCGGTTTATGAGGGGAAAAGTATTCACTATAAATTTTGTGTGCGCACCACTTGCAACAACAACGGGCCAACGAGGACGGGAACAACTGCAACAACAACTTAAATCTTAAGTAGCTCAACTTGTTTATTTATCGAAGCAGAAGTTAATGCGACGGTGGTGCGAGAGGGTGGTGGCAGGTTTGTTGGTCGGTAGTCCGTCGTCGGTTGGCTGGATGAAAAAATGCAGCAATGAGTCAACGCATTGTTGCTGTCGTGCCAACATTATTTACAGCTGTAATTGCAGGTGCATTCCGTAGGTAGGCTTTGCCAGATTAAACACTTTAAACAGATCGTTGCTTAACGAATTTAAAGATATATAAAATACGCAAAGAAAATATTATAAAGAGGTGTAAGAGAAACTCGAAATAAAAAAACACATAACTTTATCAAAACAAATTATGAGGGCCCAACATATAAAAACGAATGCGATACCACACATTCAAGATAGATACAAGCAGATATAGATACAGGGGACATGATGTGGCCAACCCGATGGGAATAAAATGCGACATGGCTGTGGGGGCAGCAGGACGTTGTGGAAATGCAGCAGCAAAAGCAGTGCTTTTAATTTTCCAGACACGTGCGAGCGGCGTAAACAACAAAACAAGTCCGACATATCAGAGGACAAATAAGCAAAATTTGTTTTGATATCTCTTTCTCTTTATTCTCAGCTATACCCTGTTCAAGCCAGATATCAAAGTTTAGTGTCTTTAGCTGTGAGTTATTATTATTATAGAACATTTTATGTACCAACAAAAAAAACTGATCCAGAGAAATATAATACCTCATGAGGGGTATCATAAAGTCGAAACACTAATACCATCAGTCAGGCTCTCCCTCTTTTCCTCTGGCTATGTTTATTTTTAAAGTTTTGGCACGCATCACTTTAATGCAATTATTAGGGGAACCGCACAGCATCGAAGCCATCTACATCACTGAAGTTTTCCCAGTTTTCGTGCTATGAAGGTCCTTAGACGATAGACTCCATATTGCAAATTGGACAAGGAGACTATCACAACACTGATCCGTAAAACAGTCATTGCAATCCTTTTTGGTTTTGTAAAGTCCAGAAAACTATATAGATAGGCTCGTCCGTCTCTGAAAAGAGAAAATTAAAATTAATAATACAAACTAATTGATAACTTAAAGGTAGTAACTACATTTGTGTTCCACCTAGTAAGTAGTATACAAACGCGAATGATACATAGAAAAGGGAGAATCCCAATGGATAGACAAAATGCAGGAGACGTGCTGGTTGCGCCACCAGAAGATGATCGATAGTCAAGGCAATCGGCGGCACTAAGTGAGTCCATAGGTTATACACATCGGAAACACGAGTCGGGTTAGTCAGCACCCGATCTTTGGGATATATAACTGACCAATAAATACTTGCGATCAAAAATGCTATGGCTATATTAATCCAGTAGCCCGCCCAATATGTTTTGATTAACCAGTTAGGCGGAGCTAAAGGAGAAAAATGATAAGGCTTAAAAGGTTAAATCCTAAGGTTAAAAATGATCTTACCCCACGTTTCCTGTTTAAAGTGATAGACAGTGACAAGAATGGCTCCAGAAATACTGACAATGCCGCACAATATAAATCCCCAGTTTGTCAAATAGATGAAAACTGTTCCTTTTTGGAAGTACTCCCTTATATAACCGACCACTCCTACGCCGAAAAAGCAGCCTAACGCCCATCGATATACTAAGAAAGGTGTAGACTTTGGTGTTGATTGCCACTAAAAGGGAATGTTTAACCGAATAACAAGGTCACAAAGAAATATAAACCGACTTGCGATCGCAGAAAGTCCAAAGGTGTATTATAATCCAAGCCAAATCTCCGCCAACGGAACTCCTCTCTGAGACTCAAGGGTTCCTGTTGAGAGCCGGACGACGAATCCGGCTCGACTCCGGCCAACAAACGAAACATTTGATGGCAATTACTTTAGTTAATTTTACTATGTATAATCTGGAAATCAACAAAGAAATGACTTTAAGTTCAAGGCCTGCATTCGCTCAGATATTCCGGTGGCAATTAACCCATGACTTATTCCCCTGGACTTCTTATCTCGCCCAGCACGCGGCTCGCCCTGCATAATTAACAGATATATGCGATTCAGTTTGGGGTCTACGGTGCGTGCGATTCAGTTGGGTTGGTTCCTGGTTCCATCCACCTCTCGTTTCACACAAATTACGACATGTGGCTGACATCATTTTCCTTCCTTCAGCCATTCAAAGATTACAGTGGGCGTTTTGGTTGGGGGAAGGGACACAGGATGTCGTTTTGAGCCAAGCAGACACTTTTAATTGAGAGACACTTGGCTGAGCTGTAGCGTGCAATTAAAATGCCATTACATGTGAAAATAAACCAGCAGCCGCACAGTGTCCTGGAGTGCTAAAAAAAAAGATTTATTTATTAAATATTTTTTTAATGTAGCTTTTTACAATGTAATCTATGCCATCTTACTAATATTATATTTGTTTAATATTTTTGCAATCATCAATTACTAAGTAATAATAAGCCAGTACTCAGATATATTTTAACCACAGTGCCGCTTTGCATAGTAAATTCCGAGGCAAGGATTTTAAGATTCCTTCCAGCGTTTGGCGATGATGTGGACCCCTGGGTGTTTCTTCTTTGTGGGAAAACTGTGCTTGTCTGGGAGAGTCTAGGTAGTTAACACCCCTGGGTGTTCCTCGAGGAGAAAACCTTTTTCCTCTCGTCCAGACTCTTTTCTTCTGTCTCTTTCCCATTTGTCTACACTTCCTCTACGTCTGCATATCTTCAACAAATCACATCAAGAGGATGATAGACTTGTGTATATTGAAATAAACATCTAATGCCCTTGCCCTCCTTACGGCCATTTAATATGCAAATTTGTATAGCAACGTTCACTCGGTCGATTTTGCCAACAAATTCACATTCTGTTGTGATTTGATTTTCCAAGTTTTCTTTTTTCCAATTGATTAGCTGATTTTGACATCAATCAAAGAGGATATTTTTTGATGTGGAAGTTGATGTGAAAGGGTTTTGATGAATCAAAGCCAATTTTAGTACGACAATTACTACGGAAATTAGTTCGTTTACTTTTGAAAATCTTAGAAAGGAGTTAAAGTTCTAAAGTTCCTAATAAATGGCATTTATTTTAGAAGTTGGCAGCCTGCTAGTCAATACAGGAAAAACTTTCGATACTTTAAGGTCATTTACCTTTTATAAAAATAAATACTTGAGGTACTCTCAATATGTAAACAAAAATCAAAGTATGATGTAAATACCTTTTCTTCAGTGAGTTATTTACTAACATTTTCGACACCACAACCTCTTGGGTGGGAAAAGTATACAGATTTTGATCGGAGCATTCCTCAAAGTCAAACTCAGGGAAGTGAGGGCTCAATTGAGCGCTCCGTGAGCTTGGGGAAAAATTAAATTTTGTAGCGGCAAACCCATTGGCATGCCCTACTTTCTTTCACCCAAGGAAGTCAACTCTTTGGCAGTTTGCCATCAAGTTGCGCTTTAAAAGTGCGTGCTACCATCGGAGAGTGCTTTCAGGTAGAAGGATGGGTTAGGTGTTAAGGGTTAAGTGTTTTAAAGTGTGCCGCCATTCAGGCCATTTCTATGTTATCGCAATTTACCAACCACTCTTGCCGCCCCACGAGGCGATACCTCATGTGTCATTATCTTAATTTAAGGCAGTCCTTGCCCCCAAAGCTCTCCTCTTCTTCCTGCCACTTTCCTCCCCACCATTGATAGAGCTTCTTTCAGTTGCCATATCTCTTACTTGAATACACAATTATGTGGCAGGGCGTATGGCAGAGTGGTGTTCTCATGTGGGGTGGCTTAAAATTAAATTTCTCATGCTTAGAGACCGAGGAGTAGGACCTGTGCCGTTGCTCATTATTATATAGTCACGTGGCATGGGGCACGAAGATGAATACGGACACGGTCTGTGGCTCGTTACTACGCGGCTATATCACGACTTGAGATTCGTCAAGAGCTCTCCTATGTTCTAGAACATCACTCAAGCTGGGTAAACTAACTATGTGATAAAGAGCACAAAAAAACGGAAAGGGTGCTAAAAATCCTTAGAGAGAAATGAACTTGCAAAAAGGTAGCACAATGAGATGTGAATAGATACCGACTGTTGAATGTCCTTTAATCAAGTCCTTTTAAGTTAAGTGATTACTTTTACTTTAAATCTTTAGAAAAGAGTATTATCAAAACTCTCAAGTGATTATTAATAAGTTTCAAGGATAATCTTAAGAACTAACAACCACTACCTGTTTGTTATATAAGCTCAAACTTAAAGGGTATCTTCCACTTCCTTGTGCCTGTTTCAACAAGTTTTTCGCTTTGTTTTGATGTTATTAGACTCTTGGGAATTCCACATGCAATTTGCAATCTTTCCTTCTTGCCGCCTCGTTTCGTACATATTTAGTGTGTAAATCAAATGAGCATATAAGCACATTTATATATATAAATATAGGTACTTGGCTGGATATATATGGATGGCTTGTTTGTGTGGGTGGCATAATGAGGACGATGGCCGATGCTTATATTGCTGCTCCATAAAATAATATCAACATGTTATTGCATTTGAATTTAAAATGTTGTGAATTTTGCAAGAGAAATCAACAAAAGTGTCACAACTTATGTGTCACGTTCGAGTTAACCTGAATGAAAAGCTGTATAAATATATATGAATTTCTGTGGAAAACATAATGCAATTTTGTATTGATAATCTGCAGGATGCCTTTGATGTGACAACTAATTTTTTTTGCTCGTTTATTATTATAAAAACACTTTTATTTCTGTCGATATATTTAATTGCTCAATTAAATTTCACTTAACCGCCAAATGGTGAAAATTCCAAATTATATACCACCAATAAAGCCACCTAAAATTATATAACAAAAATATGATAAATGATTTTTGCTATAAAAACAAGATTGATTTGGAATGTGGTTAAATGTGGAACGCTAAATTCGAGAGCTTGGACTACAATATGCCCCTTATTTAGCTTTTAGCTTTATTTAAAAATAAAAATGCTCACAATATGGTACGTCGCTGTACATAGTTGGCCGTATAACATCTTTAAAATGGCCACACAGCTAATAGAGCAAATGTTTTAATCAGTAAACAGTCGATACAAGTGACTCATTACACTTTTTGGGTCAATTTTTTTGCTCATTATTTGTAAGAGATTATTTTATCTCGCTGTTCGAAAAAATGTTTACATTTTTCATTTAAAGCTTGAATGCAATTCCACTAGAAATTAACTAACGAGTTTAACGAGGTATGACATTCCATATTCCGACCATCATTGGCTTTGTTATGGGGAAAATACCTATTTTTATGGGAAAAATCAAAGACGAAATATCAAATTATTTAAATTTTTGGAGAAATATGGTGACATTTTTACATATCAAGGCTTGAATGCAGTTTTACTAGAAATTAAATTAAGCGTCGAACTAGGTATTATATTTCGCATTTAGACCGATTTTTTTAGTATAATTGTTATGAAGAAAATAATGATTTTTTTGGGAAAAAAGGAAAAGGTGCTTCCAATCTTTTACATACTTTTTAATAAATACACGAATACATATGAAAAAACTAATTAGCTGCACAAGTAGACTTATCTAAAGAAAGTCAAAAATTCAAAGTTTAAGTTTGAGCAGTTATAATACATAAAATATTGATCGTTTATATACAAGAAAATAACTGAACTTGTTGATTTTGTAAGAAATTCATTTAAAAGTTCCTCAATTTAATTATTACCAAAGAAAGCGTTAACACAACAAGCCAACTTGGCGATGCTCTTTTGTGGCCCTCTGCGGAAATCAATGCACGCCCAATGCATCTGAATCTGAATGCATATTGAAAATGTGCATAAATGCTGGACTGAAAGGAGTGGGCGGTGGGTGATGACAATGCCGTCTGCTCGGTATTTATACAACTCACACACCCCCGCCCGCACACCCACAATCAATTATGCAATATGAAAAGCCAAGGCTTGTCCGAGGAAAACGAAAAATCGAAAAGCATTTGCGGCAATTTCTCAATTCGAAGTGAAGGCAGATGGCATAGCAGGAGGTGCTCGGTGGCTTGCAACCCAGAGGCGTCGAAAGCAGGCTCTTTCCAAAGGGGCAGGGCCAGGGTCTGGAGTGGGCTGTCAGGGCAGACGGCATCGTAACCGGACCCCCGGGCTACGTCGACGTCTGCATTGCGCCATGCAAACTCGAGCTGCGGCAGCAACAACTCATTTTTCCCATTTTGTATTATTGACAAAGGAGGGGACTGTCGACTGCCGATTTTCATTGAATATTTTTCGGCCAAAAACGAGAGCCCGTAGAGGCCTCGAACGTGTGGGCCATATAGCTCGAGTCAGAGTCATGGTTTCCAGACTGTGTCGGGGAGTTTTGTGCCAAAGGCTAGCAAACTGTTTGCACCACCGCCAGCAGCAACAACAATGCTCGAGACTCTTCTACTCGACATTCTGCTGACCTCAATATTTGTTCAACTTTTCAGCAACAATTTTGTTATGCGATTTTGGCTCCTTTCCACCCGCCACAGAGCCGGCTGTCATAAATGCCTGCAGTTTGGCAGTTTGTGCAGTGAAAGTGATTTTCGGATGGGTTCAGTTGGTTTATTGCTTTGATTTGCTGCTGCTAAACTTCTGGGGTGCTGATTACGATGGGGTGTGGTTGTGGCTTTTGGCCAGCAATCAGTGCCGGCAAATCAAATTTCATGCCTCAAACAAAAATCCACTGACTGAGCTAAAAGTAACATGGCCAAATTAAAAACAAAAAATAAAGAGGTCTCCAAATATTCCTTTTGGAGAACTCACCCACATACGACCGAGGAGACGGCAAACCAAAAGCATTTGGCAGACAGGGCCCAAACACAGGATCGTAAGGAGACGCAGGCTGTGGGCGTGGCCGATGGCCAATAGCAGCTGACAAATGGCTGAGGAGAAACAGACGAACATCACGAAGTTGGACACCAGAACCAATGTGCTAATGAAGGCCAACTTGCAGCGCTGCAACAACATCGGAAAGGAAGAGGAATGGTGACGACGACGACCACAAAGACAAAGAGTAATCACTTCTTACGGGAACCAGGAGAGCCAAATTAAATGGCAACAGCAGGGCCAAATGATGTCTAAAAAGGACCTCAAAGAACTGCCAGCTGGATGACCTGAGGACCTCATGCCAACTCTGATGGTATCCCGAAGCCACGCTCACTTCATAAACCAATGGTACATAGTAGAAGGTGTTCACTGGTCCATCCGAGTCAATTGAAGCTGTCAATGAGAAAGTGTTAGCTGGGTATCCAAAAAGGTATGGATTAGAACACACCCTGAGCCACGTGCTTGAACATATTAATAACATAGTACAGCATAAAGTTGTGCAGGATGAGCAGCAGGGCATCCTTCTTCAGGGGATGTATTGATTTCTTAAAATATAAACATTTATAAGCAATATAAGGGAATTCCCAGACGGATTTTTAATTATAACTTACAAATATCAAGAACACTTGGTAAAGAAATATTATGCAGGTCACTATAAAATCATGAACTTCGGCCATTATCGCTGATTCGCCTAGAACTTAAACAATTTTGAACAGGTTTTCCGAAACAAAAATTTGGATGTTTAGACAATAAAATCGTCGAGTTGATTAAGTTAATTTCCATGTCTTAACAAATAGTGCGGCTCCTGCATTAGGTAATAGAGCATAAAATTTCAAATAAAAATAATCTGTAATCTGGAATTAATTTGAGTCAATACGTTTTGCCGAAAGTCAAAGGTAAATTGCCCTATGACTGCTTCAATTAATTCAAAATAACAGACAGTTTCAAATGTTAAATTTGAGATATCGTTGCATTTGCATTCAATGCTTTCGCTTTTATTTACAGTATCTCCGACAATGCCATTCATCAAGATGCAGAAACAACAACGATTTCCAAGGGTCTCCTTCATTATTATGCCTATAATTAAGAGTATCTGGCCGCAGGTACTCTAAGGCAAGCTCATTGCCTAATGGCTTACAATTACCAATTAACAGATTATTGCATTGACCGAAGTGCTTGATGCACGTCAGGGGCCAAGGCAAAAACAAAATAATTTCAGTTAAGTTTCCAGCATGTGCAAATAATGTAAAACATTTCTGCACATTTTAAGTGCTGCTGCAAATTGACTGTCAGCCAGGCAAAGCACACACCACAAACATCAGGAACTGCAGCAGCGACAACTGCAACAAATGCAACAACTTTTTGAGCATCAACTACAGCAGCAAGAGCAATAAGAGTTACGAAAACAACGACCGCACAATGGAAACTGCAAGGGAATATTCGCATATTATACAAACAATAAACATTGTTAATTAATTTACTTCAACTCGAACGGTAACTGCACTTTGCCTCACTCCGCCGACAAGGCTGGATTTAAGCCTTTCTGCACGAGAAGCTATTCCCGATTGTTGTTTGATTAAATCAACTTCAATGAGACAACAAAAACACTTAAAATTAAAGCTGTAACTTAATGCAATAAAGTAGAACGTGAACTCGTTAAAAATATGTAGAATAAATCACCAATAAATAAAAATATTTTCGGTTTGCAGCCTCAAAACTGCACGAAATTAATTTGCAGAACAGCTACCGGGGACTCTCATGAAATTCACTTATTAACGCTTATATATATGATATGGCGCTTACTTCGGGCTTTTGATAACTTGTGGCATATTTCAGGAGCAGTGACTATAATGCCTCATGCACGCGGTATCATTATAAATAATGACTCTGATTAAATATGATGTAATCCGTTGCCAGGGCTACCAATTCAGGCACTCTTCTTTTTTTAAAAAAATGATGCAAACTTTATTAAACATTAATCATAGGAGTGGCAAGGGAAGCTGTAGTGGAGGAGGGCTGAGATAAGGCGATTGTAGGATGGAGCAGACAAGTGCATTAATTAACGGTCGACTGTCTCTGGTAACTGACCATAAAGGATTTGCGTTATTAATTGAACGCTTTTCGGATCAATATTCTACAATTCGCGTTTGACGCTGCGTACTTTCACACATCAACTTTTACATTATACGAGTATACCTCAATTTATATTTTATTTTTTTCATTTTTAGTAATTTGTTCGTTTGGGCCATTTAAGAATAACTGTCACGTACGACTGGCATGGCCCGAACACATGCCCACACTTACCATTTCATCAAAGGAAATCGAGCTTGAATTGATTTCGCACACATAAGCCGACTCAGCCTTCTGCCATATATACCTTGGCTTGGCTTGGCCCTAATGTGTGTCATTTGGCCGGCAGTTATCTTAGGGCCAAATGCACAAAGGGGCGGTAATTTTCTGAGCATTTCCTTTTTTTTTTGAAAAAAACAAAGGTTCCAAGCTGATCTTTTTTTGGATTTTCCTTTCTTGTTAGCTAAGTGAATTTTTATTTGCCATAGCTTTTAGTAAATGTCCATTAAATTTATTCGATTGGGGACTACATTTAGTGGCAAATATTATATATAATTTTATATGATTTTTTCTTTAGTTTGTTATATATTCTTTTTATATATTAAAGTATACAATACGTAAATGCTTTAAAAATCAAAAATTGAATTGTAAAAACAGGATAGTAGTACAACAGGACATACAATTTCCTCTGGAAGCCAGCGTTGATATTCATATATCAACTGCATCTTCAATCAGCGAGAGCAACAAGTTACAACCCGAAAAGCCAAGGACTCCAATGCGATCCGTGCATTCATTTCAATTTCATTCGCAGAGTAACTGAAAAAATGAAAACAGCGAAAACTGAGACTCATTTACACATTTATGTGGGAAAACGTCAACTCCTGAGTAATTTATGCACACAACGGCATTTAAATGCCTTTTATTTCACTTTTTTTGTGTGCTTCGAAAGAAGGCCGCTTCAGAGTTCGTCAGTGTTTTTCGGGTTCACTTTCATTTTTCACTGCGCAATGTCCCTTTGAGTAAGAGAAATGAGCTGTAATGGGTGCCAAAAGCCAACGACAGGGAAAAGGAGACAACATGGGGAGGAGCTAGCCACCAGACAATTTATGCGAGCTTGGGGAATTGTTTCGAAAATTGACAAATTATGGTCGTAAGTGCTGCGATTAGTCCGGTTCCCTTTGCCCTTTTTCTTGTTATTTTTTCGCCAACTGTCCCAAGGTTGTATTCTCCTCAAAACCACAGTATATGCATTATATATATGTGGATATTTACAGAAAAATAAACCAGGTTATAGCATCCGTTCCATTGCGGGCACTGCGTGTTATTAATAATTCAATTTAGCCGTCTCACAGTCTCACACAACAGGCGCCGGGTCAGAGAACTCCGGAAAAGCTTTGAACACGCAACTTCGACTCCAATCTTCCACAGTCGAAGGCCCCATTACCGTTTTTCCCCCATTTAACGCTCAGCAGTTGCCACCGTTCCATTTCCATTTCCACGGCGGATGGCTCATTATCTATTCATGCAAGTTAAGTGCGAAAGCTCATATAGCGGAATAATAAATTGAATTTTGCCCATGAGCTGCCACAAATGCATAAATAGTTACACGTGCTATGCGAACCGAGGCTAGGTATACAAAAGGGCTTTACTTAAATACTTTAATCCTTTGAAATAATTTCTATGTTCCCCCATTTGTAGAATAAAGATTTTTGTATTTTATCAAAACATTTTTTTGCTTTACGAAATTGACGGCAAAAAAGAAAAAATAGAGCCTGGGACTCCCTCTCCCAGGGTTATAGGATTCTAGCAGCGATTACAAATGCGGCGACGTTTGTGGCGCTCACTCTGGGTGATCTTGCAGGCCTAAAAAATTGGTTAGAAATAAATCAAGGCATATATTATATGTTCCAATATATTTACCATGCGGCGGTAATGATCCTTTCTCTCCTCCGGGAGCCTGGACCAGGCCTTAGCTGCCTGCATGATCAGTTCTTGCGGCTTCAGGTCGCAGTGCTTTTTGCGGAATGCGCGAACAAAGTTCAAATAGCCATTATTGGTGATAGGACCAGGCTTGCTGCACTTGGAGTTGCCACAAGCCGACTTCTTAGGCCTAGCACAAGCAGACTTTTTCGGTCTTGGACGGGTCATCCTCTTTGGCTTTGCGCATGCTGCATTCTTCCTTGGCCTGGCGCGGGATTTCTTTGGCTTCATGCAAGATACGGATCCTATAGCGCGTTCTGTGACCATGGGATTGTTACAAATCCCATTGATTACTTCAGATTGCTTAGCATCCATTGACATGGCAATGATCCCAACTTTATTCCCAGACATATTGCGGTAATAGTTTCTCTCTTCCTCGCTAATTCTCTCCCAGGACTTGGCTCCCTCCTTGGCTAATTCTAGCCAACTCAAGTTCTCGTTTTGTCTACGGAAGTCGCACAGATAGTTTAGAAATCCATTGGTTGCCCACGATCCATTGCTCATGCTCTTGCTTTCCTTTACTTCGTCTGTCATCGTGTGAGGTTTATTAAGAGTCAGTTTGTAAAATATCCCTTAAAAAGTTATACAAAACCGCACGAAACCTGAAAGGAAACAAAATTGTGGGTTAATACATTGCTAGCAAGAAAAGTAAAATTAAAAGGGGCTTCTGTGGTCTCCTAAATGCCAAGTATTAATTGGGATAAAATTAGTTTGTCCTGCATGGCAGGAAGCTGATGCAGTACTGAGTGCATGCCCCAGAAGCCGCAAAGTTGTGTCCTGTCGAAAAGTCACTTAATCAGTGCGGAACCCGAAGCTGGTACCAGAAATAGAGCTTCATCACCACCCAGCAAGATGACCGTAAAGACCAGGACGAAGACCTCAACTGCAGGCGACAGGGGGTTTTAAGTGCAACAAAGCCCATAATTAATATCACTTTACAGTTGCTAGACATATGTGTGGCCCTTGAAGTGTCGGTTGTTGGCCAAGACCAGAGGGTATTAAGAACTGTTTATTTAATTGCCGGTGAAATTTCCATGTCTCATAGGGCAAATTAGTTACCAGTAAACCGCCAGTACAAAGTTAATCTGGGAAAAGATGGCAACATCTCTTGGTTTTTTCAGGTTAAAAGCTTTTAAGGGTAATGAATGATGGTTATTGTAGCTATCCCTAATTAAATTTCTGAATATATATTGATTTTAAAGCCAATAGCCCAGTTTCCAGACTCGCAGCTGTAGTTCTATTCCCAAAAATATTAATTTGAATTATTAATTAGAAATCGTTATGCACAAATTCCAATTTATAACCAGCTGACCTATTTGGACCGCAGATGTCTGCATGTCCCAAGCTTCATGCTATGCCTCATTTGTGGTAAAATTATGCTCCTCTTGCCTTTGCATGCAAACTTCAAATCCATCTTGTGGATAAATTTGAGATGACAGAAACTGTATGAAATATTAAATGGCATTATTCCCAACATGGCAGGATATAAGTTGGGTTGTTGGTAAAGGTTAAAAGATTATCTTTAAAATGTCGATTTTTTCCTATCAATGCTTTAAGGAACTTCTGATTGGATAAACCATTTTGATTAAGTGCTAAAATGGCTATAAAGCCCAAAGTAAAGCAGGTGAAACTAAGTAAGATTCGACAGGAGCTGAGGGCGTCGAGTGATTATCATTAGCCGCCAGAGTAGTTGCCATTTAGCACGCACAACGAGATGCACGCCAGCAACATCAGCAGCAGTTGCAACAATGTTTGAGTAATTGTTTGCCGTTGCTGCATCGTCAACAGCAAAAGCAGCAACAGCAGCAACATCAGAAGCAAGAGCAGCAGCAGCAGCAGCAACTGCAGATGCAACAAAATTTGCATGCAAACACAAACCCCTTCTCTACCCCACACTTAACCCCTTAAAACCCCCCTGTTATTGCCCCATTTGGCTGCTGGCTGGCGACTGCACACGTAACTGAACGGTGGCAACAACTGCAGCAGTAATTGCAACAAACAATTAGCGTCACTTGGATTTATGTTTACGAGCGGCTGCCCCGACATTTTCGGCCACAATGACAGTGCCTTCCCCGCCTGACTACTGCCCCTTTATGGTTGTCATCAGACAAAAAGTTGATCAATCAGGACGTGTAATTTATTTACGATTTCATTCAGCGAACGAAAGAAAGAAAGAAGCGAGTGTTCCTCAATTTCGAGATTAACTAGATCTTTCTTTCGGTTTAACCGCATGCCCTATGATTTATGTAATTGCCCGCGCTTGTAGCAAGTGTTGTTGCAGCATGTAAATGACGTCATTACAAGGCGTGGGGCGTGGCTAGGTGGTCGGCTGTCGACGGGCTGCCCCCGGCATTAGTTTAAAGTCAGATAGGACAACCGTTTCCATCCGACATCTAGACAAACACGCGGGCCGGCCAAGGCGTGGCTGGCGAGTTTCCGTTCCGACTTGCAACACTTTTGTGCAACACGCCCCCGACAAACTCGCGTTCGACATTGACTTACTGCACTAACGGTATTTGGTTTTTATTTTATCACTAGCGGTTAATGAATGAAATGGAAAATAGCGACTCAAATTTGGAAATTAGACCGGATGCACTCGCGGAAATTGTGTTAATTCACTTAAAATTTTGACAGAAATTTGGATATGACCTGCTTCTGTGCTCTACCAAGTTTTAACTAATAAAGTTTACTAAAGTAAACAGCACTTTACAAATTTTTGGTTGATAGCCAAGACGAAGCCTACTTTGTATTAACATCGGAAAATTTTAGATTTTTCGGCAGTATGTCTAGGATTTTTGTTTAACTTACCTTTTGGAAATATCTAAAAAATCCAAACTTTTTTTTATCACAACACAATTTTTAAGAAAAAAATTAAAATTGCTCTTACAAATTTTTACTGAGAATTTTGGAATGTGAACTGTTTATGTGGTACACAAAGTTACAACTGAAGTTCCAACGAACTGACTTCCAGTTCGAGGCATTCGACAACACACATACTAGATGGAATAAAGTTAGATTTGATCGAATCGAGACGCCGGCGGATACGCATCCTGGGAAACATCCTTCTGTTCCTTGGGTCCGCCCCCGTGTTTCTTCGGTATCGTTGGCGTTGTGTTAAGTTTTCCTCTAAGGCGGCATAAATTATGTGAAACAATTTTTATTCCCACTACAACTACGGCTAGGGCCAAAAACTCTTTGCGGTTTATTAAAATTTCCTAGCCGACGGGCTAACAAACTCGGTGTGGCTAAGACATTTTTTTGGGTATGGAGGAAACTTGGCCTGGGGATTCCGATTGTTTGGACATGTGTGAGGTTTTCTATTATCTGTAAAATGTTATGATTTATTATGTGCGGGCTCAAGTTGATGGTACGGCCATAAATTGCAACCCTTTGGAGTCTTTTGCCTTTCCCATTGCCTTGCCCTTGCCTCATCTTTGGTCTATGCCTTTGCCAGCAGCAGTTAAGTCAATTAATTGGCCTTAGATTTATTAGTTTTTACCATCCCCGCCCTCTCTTTCAACCATCCCCTACCACCCTTTAGCATAGGTGCCGTGATTTATTGTTGCAGGAATGCCAAAACAACAAAGGAAAATTCCTCGACTTTGACTTTGGCACGCACGCAGGATGAGTAGTCAAAGTCCAGGTGACAGAGGGGTTTCCGCCGCATTCCTGGAGGTGTGGCATTTGCATATAAATAGATATGTCAGCTAAAATATGAACCACATGAGTCGGGTCCGGGTTCTATATCCTATATATATATATATATAAATAAATATATTTTCTTGTTGTTGGCTCGCGGCGAAAACGCGTCCATTGCGTGTCGCGATAAACACAAATTTCAAGTTCTCCACTCGGACATTTTCCATTAAATTAGCCTTAGTGTCAAATACTGACACCAAAACTGATGTACCGAGGGGCGGGTGAGACACTCATTGTCGTCTAATGGTATCCTACTGAATTATTAACTGGGTCAAAGCCAGGGCACACATAGAAAGTAAAAAACTGACAGAAAGTTGGCGTTTAGCTTAAAATGACAATTTGGGAATAGAAACTAAACATCTTCCTTCCCCTGAGTAACTTTTTTTTATCCATCACGGAGACATAACGTATCCATGTCAGGATATAAATATTTTAAAAGTAATAAAGCGATATAGAAAGAAATAATCTAAAATGTATATTTAAAGTTATCCCTTAAGTACTTTTAAGTACAGTTGATAGAAAATTCCCGCTTGTAAATGTTCTTTAAATTTAAAGAACACTCTGCATCTTATCCATAAACCAATGCAAATACTCTACCACACACAGAAAAAGCCACAAAAAACGAAGAAAAGAAGACGAATTGAATTTCTTAGAAATCATGTTGACAAATTCGGCTGTAGGGCAAGAGGCATCACGTCATCACATGGGCTAAGACCTGCATTCAAGTGCAAGAAGTTGCATATGTGAGTGCCAGCAATGGCACCCCGATTATCATCGCTGCCAGATCCTGTTTTCCTGCCTCCACTGAACTTCTTGGCTTCCCTTCGGGGCCACCGGTGTAATAACTTAAAATCCCATAATAAAGCTACTTACTGAAGGTAGTTCGTCGTCGGCGATGTCCTCGTTGCCCTAACAATAACTATTATTCTTTGGATTTGGCTTGGGATGTGGCTCGAATTGAGTTCCAGAGGCTTTCTGCCACCGCAAATGTGCAAGTCAAGTGCATACGTCACTGGTTCCATTCAGCCAAAGCCATACCTAAGGTCTAAGTGCACAGCATCCATTTTGGGTTTGGATTCTTGCTCTACTCTTGTTAGTTACTTTTCTGTCTATAAAAAATATCCTCCCGAGCAACTGGATTAAGATTGAATTTTTCTTGGTTTTATTTTCTTCCTTTTTTTTATCAGTTTTTTCTGCTGAAGCAGAAATTTTTATCTGGTCTTCGTCAGGTGAAGAGTCGCTTAGATATCCCACACAAAAGGCTGCTAAAAATATTTTTATGTTGAAATAGAAATATTTCCCCATTGAAAATGGAAACGTTTTTGCCATTGTGTTTGACCTTGTATGTATGTGTGTATATACAACCGGATGTTGTACAGTTATTGGAATGTCTCTTCATTTCCACTACCCATACTCAAGTATCCCTAAGGAACGGCATCGACAATGGACTATTAGTTGGCATTTTTCTAGTATTTTTGTCGTCCTCGTCCTCGTCCACGCCCTCGTCGTCGTCGTCGACAGGAAATGGTAAACTGATTTCTCTTATTAATTTCAGTTGGCAATTTGTACAGATAAATCAGCGCAGTTGTTAGTGCTACGTTGCTATTTTCCTCCCCTCCCCACCACACTCACCCTTCCATCTGTGCTTCTTTTGTACTCTAAGCCAATTCAATTCCCCCTGAAACGTAAGCTAAGCAATTGCTCGCATATTTGTTAAGAATAAGCATTCCGGAATTTTTCAAGTAAATTAACCTTTGCCTGGCACTCGTCCAACTGTTGAAATGAATGGGAATTTCGAAGGGGGATTATTTAGCAGAAGGAGGCCCCATATTTGTCATGATGCAACTGAAGTTGTAAATGGAATTTTCAAGTAGTTGGATATCATTGGGGTAAGGAAGTTAACTTCCCAATGCATAGAATTTAAGCAAGCTAACAGAAGTGTCACCTAACAGGCAATAAAACTGATTGTTCGGTAGATTTTATAGAGCAGAACGGTAAAATAAAATATTTTCTTAATGAAATTTGATTTTAATAACGTGGACCCCCCGAGAAGTATGCAACATTCGGGGCGATTGCAACGGTATTTTTAATGGTTTCAATTAAGCTGAATGGTCGATTCGAGGCATTATAACAACATTAACAATAATAACAGCAACGACGTGACTTTTGTGCAAATTGTTAACGTCGGGAATCGCCTTGCGACATTGTTGTTGTTGCTCCTGCTGTTGCGCTAAATATTTTAATTAAAGAAATAATTACATTAAATGCATTTCGTACATAACACGTGGATCGCGCTGACAACGCCCACAAGCAGTTGGTATTTTTTAAAACTTCATTAAGCGAATTTATTGCAAGCAGGCATCGGCCATTGGACATTTTCGAACAGAATGCAATTTAAATCCAACTCACACACACACACCCCCAAACACACAGCTGGAAAAAAAAAATAAATAAAATCGAATAAAAGTGCAACAAATGAATGTGCAAGTGTCACTTTTGGGTCATCAATGAATTGCGCACCTTCGGCATTTTCCGCGCTTAATTATTTCAATAAAATCAGCATACGAAAATAATCATCACAGAAACAGGCTTCGAACAAATTATAAGAGCCGACTCGAAATGCGGTTAACACAATTATAATTTCAATTTGCTGTCGCATGGACTTGCATAATGGAGCTGAAGCGATTGTTTAAGCTGAGCAGTTTTCGGATAAATTATACTTACGTTGTATAATTCACTTCACCAGCCAGGGAATCAGAGATATTTTCAAACTATATTTCAAGTTAATCGATATCTTTGACTAACGCAAATTACTATGTATAAGTGCTATCTATATATATATATATACTTTAGTATTAAATTTCCCTATCCATCCACAAAAAAAAAAAACAAAATGAAAAGCAAGCTAGACATTCGCTTTGATTCGACATTGTAAATTTTTCCTATGATTCCTCCTTGTTGCTGCTTTTGTCGTATTCTTGTTTCCATTTTCTGTGGCATATTTAATAACAGCGCATTAAGATGCGACACATTTGCAGTCAAGTCAACAAATTGCCGGCAGCAATGCCGCCCCACCTCACACCACTCAACCACCGCCCGCATTTTCGCAACACCCATTTGGCTCACACTCTAAAATCTTGACGACGTGCGCGCTTTAATCTTGTTTAAAAATGCGCAGCTGTAACAACAACGACAGCAACGAGAAATGCGTGCTTGTGTGCTAAGGTGAGGCAACTCACAGTCTTAAGAAAATAATCTTATATTGTCGAAGGTTTAGATACTCTAAGAAGCATTTTAGAAATAAACATTGAAATGTAAATTAATTTTCCAACGTTAACTTTAAATTTAAATTCAATTAGTATGTTTAGTAATATACATAAGGATACCTTTATTTAGCATGATTCAAAGACTAATCAAACGTGTCAAGAAAACTTGACGACCACCTGAAAGAGCATTGAAAACAGGAAAACGTAGAAGGTGCGGTTTGGTTTTTGGAAGGGAAAATGCTGGCTGTATTTAGGCGGACGTCTTGTCAAATCTGCGCCGTGAAGCATTCTAATGAGAAGTGCTCTGCTCCAAGTTTTCTCTGACTCGCCTTCGTTACAAGGCCAAAAAATAAAAAGGAAAAAAACGAAATAAGAAAACAAAAAAGCTTGGCTATCACAGCCACATAATCAAAGGGCGTTGGGCACGGCAGCCACTTTGCCCGCCTTTTTATGCTCACCTTGGAATTTCATGTTTCCTTTTCCTTTTGCGTAGCGGTTGTATTTTTTTGTGTCTTTTTACGTGCGATATATAATTTCATATTTTTTAAGATAATTACGTCGATAAGTTGGAAAAAGGTAATGTATGCCGGTAAATAAACCAAAATGAGGATGCCTGGCCCAAGGGTTGAAAGTAAAACCGTGAAGAAAATATACGGAAAGTCACGTGAAGAGACACATAATTATAAGGGA